TCAAGGTGAACCTCACTTGTGTTTTTACCTTCTGCAGTGTTATTGATTATATTATAAAACAAACCATAATATAAACTAACCCAATTTAAATTGTGTATATTTACCTGAAAGTAATTGGAACCTATTGAAATTTTGATGTGACTTTTTTTTAGTATAGATACAGAAAATGAAGCTCATTAAGATAGAAATTGTCCTAAAGTTCTGCAGTAAGAGACATGTATCTTTAGAAAGAATAGAAGAGTTTTCTACCATCCTAATGTTTGCAGCATAAATGATTTGTTGATTGTTGGCATGGAATACTTGAATTGATTTTACATTACAGCATAAGAATTACCAGAATAGATTGCAGCATGAGTCTATATAAGAAGTTTCCCAATATTTCAAAATCTCTTTTTGTATAGCATGAAGCCTCAGATTTCAGTGGCATGAGATTAGATAATTACTCCCCTAAAGGTTTATAATTATGATTTTCCTGATATGTTTGCAGTGATGTATGTTTTCTTAATGGAAACACACCATTCTGCTATTTAGAAAAGTATAGTAAAAAATTCAGTGGCACTCTATAAAGTACTGGTGGCGTAATTCTCCATTTCATAAATTATCCAAGTGCCATTCACAGGGTGCACAAATATCCTAACTCAGCAACTGTAGAACTTTGTTTCTAAAATAACTATAGTTGCCGGTAGTCAGTGTAATGATTCCACTGAAGGCTTTAAGAAGATGATTGCTTAATTCAATGGAAGTTCCTTTTGAAGAGAATTATGATCATGATTCAAAACAAAAATTTAAAATTTTAGCTTTCCTGATATAAATTTAAAAATAAGAAAGGCCGTTGAAGAAATTAAAATAAAATAAATTAGTAATCCAAAACATAAAACTGTCTACAGATGAACAGCCAGGTAAGAAGCTGACATTAAAATAAAGCCAACTTAGTATCAAATCTCCACAAAGAGGAGGATCCTGAATCTAGGTGTTAGACTTTGGAAGAGTTTCTCCTGTCTCTTTGCACGATATACAACTGTGAAAGGACAGAAGATTTTAATATTTATGTGGATATATACCAAGAGAAAAGATCCTTTGGATATGAGAGAAAACAACATTGAACTTATTGTAGGAAATCAAGAAAATGTCTGAGAAGGTGGCAGTGGCAAGCCAGTGTAGTACTGTTGCCCAGAAAACTAAATGAAATCACCAAGAGTTAAGCTCAATTTATGGATGCTGGCAGCATATGTTACTGAAGGCATAATACATATTTTTCTTGGAAATAAATTCTATTTCATTATTGTATTTTGTGCATATCTCAAAAGAAGCCCTATTTTATATAGTGAGAAATTTAGTAAATATTAAAATCTCTTGTGTATAGCAGTCAGCAGCTTAAACTGTGATATTATCTTTATATATTGTCTTACATTTTCTCATTCTGGATTTTTATCTCATATATTGAGTCGTCTTTTTCATTTTTACCCAGATTAAATATGTGCAGGGAGATCTTTTTACTTGTCCAGAAACAGATTCCTTGGCTCACTGTATTAGTGAGGATTGTCACATGAGTGCTGGCATAGCTGCTATTTTTAAGAAGAAGTTTGGTGGTGTTCAGGAACTTCTGAATCAACGTAAGTAAAGGGCCAAGGTAGAGCAGTTTATAGAACCACAGAATCTAGGTACTATACAGTAAAAGTGAGTGTTATGCAAATAGATTCCTTCAGATGACAGATACACTTTATGTCCTGCTCAACTAATACCTTTATAATGTGCTCCAGATGGGGGGTTTCTAGACTAGCTTTTGAGGGCATTTAGTGGTCAGGGAAAATTTCTCCTTATTTCATTGTTTCCATTAGAAACAATTTAAAACAAGTATAAACATAGTTAACAGTAACAAAAATAATAGAGTAATTAAATAATGTTCAGAAAATAATGCCTCAGAAGAGGTTTAACTTGCTGTAGCTGTACAACTCTTTCAAATGGAGCTACTAATTTTCATCATATTGTATGCCCCTGCCTTGTAAGACAAGCAGCCAGAAGTTCTTTACTTTTTGTTACTTTACTTTACTTTTTGTTTAAAAGTATCTAAACAAGGCCTGTGTTGTTGCTAACAATAGATGAATAGAACCACTAGGTCAGGTGTGTCAAACTCAAGGCCCAAAGCCTGGATACAGCCTGTTGGGTGCTTAAACCTGGCCCATGGGGCCGCCCTGGAAACAGTGGACTGGCCACAGTGCTTCCACCAGCAAAAATAGTGTAGGAGCCCCAACACAAGTGACGTTGAGCTGGCCAACGTCCAGCCCCCTCCAGGTCAAACATAACCCTGATGTAGCCCTCAATGAAATCGTGTTTGACACCCCTGCACTAGGTGATTGAAGAGCTTACTTTGTATGTTAGCTCTTGGACTGTGGAAACTATTGATGGGGTAGGAATTTTATCAGTACATTGTAGTTTTTAAATGTGCCCTATATGTAGACCATGGGTGTCAAACTTGCTGCATCACATGACATCACGTTTTTCCCTTTGCGGAGCTGGGGTGGGCGTGACCTGCGTGTGAGGCACCCGACCCATGTTTGACACTCCTGATGTAGACTATTAATATACTTGTTACCAGTTTATTCAGTTGTACTACCTAGTATAATGTACAGTTGTAACTTGGAAATGTTAGAAATATGACAGTGATCATATTACTTCACCATTTTAGAACAAATATAAACACGTATCGAATTTTTATCTACACTCAAGTGTCATTCAAAATTTTTACATATGATCAATTTATATATTATTTAGTTTCTTTCAAAAAAAAATACGAGAACGGGATGACCATGGTGCTTTCTTATATGTTTGTTATGATAGTTTTCAAAAATAATAAACATTTTCAGTGCTCTGGAGATTAGGAATTAACTGATTTTTCTAAAAAAAAATCTGACATAGACAAGAAGACTGGAGATGTGGCTATTCTGAAGAGAGAAACTAGATACATATATTACTTGGTATGTCATTGGGAACATTACTGGTATTTATTCTAGAGATAAATATATGATTTATGCATCAAGAATTATGATTGGCAAAAGTTAAACATCCTCTCCATCGACAAACATTGCTGAAATTTTTAATAGTTTTTCTGAAGGAATCCCTATACAAATGCAATGTTTGCTGCATGAGATGAGCCGTGATGACTCAGTAGTTAGAAGGCAGCATTTTGAGGATTAGTACGTGAGTCTTTCCCAATGCAGTCTACAAATGCCATTACAGTATTTAATTTCATAAACATTAATTTTAAAGATTTAAAATCTAATACATTACAATAATATATTAACTGCAATCCTTTGTATATCTATCCAGAAGCAAAGTGCATTGGATTTGTTCCTTTGGTTAAGGCTGCAATTTGGAACATATTTATCAAGGATTTCCCACTGAATTGACTGAGATTTCTAAGTAGACATATAACATGCAAAATAAAAGGAATCAAATCTAAAATGTGTCTAATCTACATTTTACCATTTTTTTTAGATCTCAAAAAACAAATATTTTCATAAACCTACATATGACAATTTACGAAAGAGTTTAGAAGCTATGAAAATCCATTGTCTGAAAAATGCAGTAACTCACATTTCTATGCCAAAGTAAGCTCATTTTTATATTATAAAGTTACTATACTATATTTACACATTGACAAAATAGTTTTTCATTAATTGAAAATCTTTTACTTTTTTATTTATATTTTGTCTATGTAAAGGCTCTACAATAAGTCCCAAAAAATCCTGGAAGAGCTGCTGACTTTAGATTAAGCACATTCAGAATATATTTTTGTATATTTAAAGCAAAAGACCTGTTTTCATTGAATTTGAAGGTGTTATTAAATGGAAAATAACGCTTTCTAAGTTGTGATACATGGTTGTATAACTGAGAAAACGTACAGTGTTTGAGAGCGTCACACTTCTTTAGCTTGAAAAATGTGACCAAAAATGAGCTGCTTGTTAGATGGTCATAATTATGGATGAGCTTAGATTTTATTTTAGTGATATACCTAATAAGCTAGTGAATGAAATTTAGTTCCTTAGAATGTTACATTCACACTTATGGATGTTTCTTTAGGATAAATCAATAAGTATGACTATTGAGATAGTATGAGATAGCATGCGATTAGTATTGTATCATATTTACACCTAATATGTTAGTTTGAATTAATCCTTGTTTTGGCACTGCTTATATGTTTCCTATAAATCATGGTGAAATAAATGTTTCGAAGAAAATACCCAAAAGAGACACCTTGTATGCTCTGTATTTCAGGATTGGTTGTGGACTTGACCGTCTGGACTGGAAGAAAGTTTCAACAATGCTGGAAGAAGTATTTGAAGATACCAATATTCATATTACAGTTTATACTCTTTAATTCCTAGTAGAATTGTCTGTTCTGTTTGTTGTTATATCCTTGTATCAGTATCTTACCTGACATATGCTGATAGTGTTATCTTAATTCTAGTGTTCACAATTCTTTAAGTCCTTTTCTGCTCTACTCAATTTTTTTTTTAAAAAGTCAAAATGTACATTCTAGTGTTCAGATACTTAGTGTATCTATCTCCTATTTAGCAATTGGAAGATGTTATTTTAAGAAAAACACTCAACAAAACTGATTTTTTTTTATATAGATTGGCAATCATGTGGAAAAGATTGGAATAGGATGGAAAGTTATGTTTAAATGTTTACCAAAAATAAGATGTTCACATATATAAATAAAAGACCTTTTCCAAATATGAGTTTTATGTATTTATGTTTTTGAAATACTGCAGTATATCAGTTGTACATGAAACATTATTCGTGTCCACCCAGGTCCATTGTTGAAATGTATTGAGGTGCTATGTAAACATTCCACGAACAAGTTTATACACCTCATAGAATGCTGGATCAGATTTGCTTAGGTTGTGTCTTTAACAGAGTACATATTGCTAAAATAGCAAATGAGTGATAGATAAATTAATGTAGTGTGAATATGAAGGCAATTTTTGACTATCTCCAGGCCAAATTTATAATAAAGATGGATAATGGAATAAAAATCCTATTTTAAATCTCTCTGAAAGTGGCCTTTTCAAATTAGAAGTGTAATTGGGGACAACTTACTGAAAACTGGGCGTGTTTAGTGACATTGTATTCTTGTCATTTGTTTAATTTTAAAAATAATAATAAAATAAAAATGCTTTAAATAAATTTTGTAAGCAGCTGAGCCAGTATTTATTGGGAAATTATTTCTCATTGATTAAGAGAGACCAAACTGTTTTATAATGTACATGCTAATTAGTTCACAAGTGCAAAAGTACTTCTAACTCCCTCAACCAATGCTTTGTGAATGGTCATTGTCAAAATAATTAGTAATCTCTCTCCGTATTACATTTCCCTTTGATTTCTGCTATTCACTGCATATTAATTTAAAAAAATTAATGTTAAAAATGTTAATGTTAATGTTTTAATGTTAAATTTATTTCTTGAAATTTCTTTGGATGGGACTTTTCTAAACTTGTAAGTGATAGAACTTTGCTTTGATTCTGTTCTTTGTCATTTGTAATGTTTTCAATTCTATGTGAATAACAGCACTGCAGGTTTATGTATTTAAAAAAACCAGATCTCTACATGTATTTTTAGTCTTATCAGCATAGCAGTGTGTCAGCTGGAGACTTCTGGTGTTTCCTATTTCAAAGCAGCTCTGGAAAACTGAGTTGAGAGTCCCAAATGTTAAGAGTATACCATGCTTGTTGCTCCATGGGTTGGCACATTTTTTTCCTGGAGAGACAGAAAAAAGAGGCACAAAGTGGTTTTGTCAGCAAATGGTATTTTATTTCTTGCAAAATAGGAGAACTAATACAAATGTTCCTTATTTTGGCAAGAGTATGGTTTCTTCATTTTTCTTAATTCATAAAATCCATTTGGCACCCTTTATGTAATCAGAGACACCTTCATAATAACGTCTTCAGATCTAGGTTGATAATTATATAGAGGTTGAGATTTTTGAGATTGAGATTTTTGCCAGGTAGGAGATGAGATAGACAGCAAATAAGTTTCCTAAACAAACAAATTTAATGTTATACTTTTAAGATTCCAGGTTAATTTTATTGCAATTTATGTGTTTGTTTTAGTGGATTAAAACAACTCTAAAATATGATTTATGTTCTTTTTTATACTCTGATCCAAATTGATGTGATTTGCAGCACGGAATTTGTACTGCAGAAAATGCAGCACTACTTGAAAAATGCATCACTATAATAGATTGTTATATTCCTGTTTAAACAGCATAGCAGATGGATTAGGGAGAGGGATGTAGTTTAGTTTTAGAACATTCCTTTGCATTTAGAAATACTGTTTTAATTCCAGTGAAGTATCTCCCTGAAACCTTAGCAGCTGCCACTGTTGAATTAGATCAGTGTTTTTCAAAATTGGCAGATTTACAATGGGTGGAGTTCTAGGAGTTGAAGTCCACACCTTAAGGGTGCCAAGTTTGAAAAATACTGAATTACAATAGATACATCATATGTTTTGCTTCTTGTAAGGCTGATTCCTATATTCATTTGCTATTTCCACCGATCGTTTTTTCTAACTGACCTAATGTAGATACATGGAGTCACTGCCATATGGAAGTGAGTGAAGAAAAAATGGATTCCATGGGATTCAGACTCTGGAAGCACTATGGAAAAACAAGCTGATCTGTGAGTCCATGTTGGAGCAGAAACAATCTTGTAAAGAGGCAATAAAAAGATGGGGTTTTCTTTTTTAAAAGGGGCAATTCTATATTTTGCATGTCTTTCACCAGAGAAAGAGGATCATCTCTTTTCCATGGTTGACTGAAAACCAGGAAATAAAGACTGCAGCCATGTAGACATCTGTGTTAAAGATTAGGGAATTATAATACATAGCTAGAGATTAGTGAAACATGCAGATTAGAATTCTAATCTAGAGGCCAATTTGAGCTATGGAATTTTGCTATTTTTGTGCATAATCCACTCTGAGGGAATACTGTTGTAGCTGAAAGCAACTTTTGGAAATCACTGTCAATTTCTTTTTTACTTTTGTGCTTTTTAAAACCTCTAGTGTTCTATGTTTGCATATAAAAGACTTGAATTCTTGATACTTATTCTGGGATCAGCCTTTAGTTAAATGTTTCTCCTCGATCAACCTATTGCCAGGACATTTATTTCCTATTGCTGTCTCTTGAATAAATCTAAGGGGTTCTGCAGTGTGCTAGTGGTTGATAAAATAGGATTCAGTATGCCTCTGCCATGAAATGCAGAGATGTGTGCTCTAATCTGCCCAAAGCTGCCTTGTTAAAAACCAAAATAAAGTTTGCTTCTTATGATCTTGACAGCTTGAAGACTTGTGGACTTCAACTCCCAGAATTTCTCCTCCAGTCATATTAGCTCAGGAATTCTGGGAGTTGAAGTCCACAAGTCAAACTTTCAAAGTTCTGAAGACCCTTGCTTATGATGGCCTGAAAAAGTACCCTAAACAGGGAGATTTCAAAATCACGCTTAATACTAACCTCAGTGCAAAATTTCAGCAAGCTTTTCATCATAAAATTGGAAGTTCTCTTGAATGTCTTCCCAGGGTGTAAATGCCTTTGCTGCTCCTTCCTCCTGCTCTACAAAGTTTTGCCAGACGTACTCGAAATCTTGAGGTTTCATGATTCTCAATTTACAACCAGCTGTTTTCAGTTTCTTCAAGGCGGTTTGCATGTCAGGTTCCTCCCACATGAACAGACGACCTATTGCCATGGAGAGATGTAGGTTCTTATTCTTCTGAAGTGCTTTAGTTATCCGATCTGCACAGCCTATACAGGGGCTACAACTGGAGTACCAGGTGACATTGTAGCACAGGCCAGACTCGCACTTGGGCAAGATAGTATTGAAGAAGGCATCTTCTGCATGGGCTGCTGCATGTTCATCTTCCAAGTAGCCCCGTAACTTTTTGGACTCCTTGCCCTGAATCTCTATGATATAGCATAGGAAAGTCTTGTTTCTTCCTGAACTGTATTCGACGTTCTTGAACTGGAAATTGAAAAAGCAGGCTGGAAGCCGTTCCCTAGAGAGAGGAGTGAAAGTATCAGTGTGGAAACAGGGTTTATAATGTAACCCCCTGTACGGTTTCTATTTTGTTAAGATAATTTTATAACAACACTTGCTCCCCAAAGTATACAAGTGGGAAGCAACTTGACAATATCTATTTCCCACTTAGAGTTTATGTAGAAGCAACCTCACCAGTTAGTACTGTGGAGGTATGGAATAGGAACTGGTGGGAGTTTGCTTTGAATTAGAAAAAATAAAAAGAGATGAATCACACAATATTACAACTATCACCAGCTTTTTTTGTTTTGTTTTTAGAGCTATTCTCTCTCCCCACCCTCCCCCCCATGTAATGCTGTCTTAATGTATTGGGCAATATTTCTTAACTGGATAAAAATTATAGAATTTCAATTTAGTACTTTAATTTATTGGGATTTAAACTGGAAAGTTGTGCAAAGGGTAGATTGTGTGCTATGTACTGTTTTTGTAATCTATTGGAGATATAGCCAATTAAAAGCATAATTTACATATTTTATAATGGTGCTGCAGTCTACTAGAGAAGTATGTAATTATTCTACATTTTTGTTATCTAAAGCCAGTAACCAGTAAGCACGTTACTGACATTTTCATTTCTTTACTACCAGTTTTCCCCTCAGAATGGATTTTTTAAACTCATGCATTACCCAATCAATATTATTTAATATAAAAATAAAATCAATAAAGCATAAATAGTTCTTATTTTACTGAAAATGGATGATATAATTATCAAGTCTTTTAATGTAAACCTTTAAAAACATTTAGCACTCTTCTCTTTAATTGCAATATAATTTAAATGACTTTTATACCAGAAGCCTTATGGAAAATAAATGTAAATCATCTAATGTCTTTGTTATTTTTTAAAGATTCCCAAATGCATGTTCAGTGAGACGTGAACATGTGAGAATACTACAGAATATTTTCAATGGCAAATTTGTAGGAAAGGAAAAATTCTTAATTTTCCTGTCCCAGTGACCCCAGTGACAATGTTAACAATAGCCTAGATGTTGCAGTGTAAGATGATGGTGTAGAAACAGTATGATTGTACCTCCAAAACATTTACAATTTTCTGCAGGTCTGTGGTAATGGCAATGGATATAAGATATTTTTTTGGCTTTTTCATTGCAGAGAATCTCCCTTATCCCCTTCCCTTCTACTCCAGTCTAGTCTAGTTAAGAGATTAAGAAGGAAAGGAAAGCCATCTTCATAACACATGTATTCATAGACTTTGGATGCATGCATGTCTATAATGACCATTGCCAGGAAATTCAGCTGTCAGCACCTCTTCAATTATCTTGATTTGTTAGGCAGTTAATCTATACTGCTGTGAAGTATGAGATAAACAGATTTTGAATTAACCTTTCTGTATAATACTGATGTACAATTTATATATGCTGTTGGAAAATTTAAATTAGAAAACTTTAAGCTCTTTGTTTTGAAAAATGGTTCATCTCTGTTATTATTTTCCCTCTGGGTTCCAACTAGCAAACTTTTACTACACATTTTTGACAGAATGCTCACTATTATTGAATACTGAAGTAGTTTTCTCATTATTTTTATTGACCCTAGGAATTTACAGGTAGCCCTCAAGTTCATTTAGTGACCATTCAAGTTACAACAGCACCAAAAAAGATGACTTAAGTTATGACCCTTTTTCACACTTATGACCATTGCAGTGTCTAGGGATCATGCGATCACCTTTTGCGACTTTCTGACAAACGAAGTCAATGGGGAAGCCAGATATCCTTAACAACTGTGTTACCAAATTAACAACTACGGTGATTCACTTAACAACTGTGGCAAGAAAAGTCATAAAATGGAGGAAAATTCACTTAAATGCCTTAGCAACATTTGCCAACACAATTGGGCTCAATTGTGGTTGTAAGTAGAAGACTACCTGTATTGTATATCCATATGTTATTAGACAAATGTTTTCAATCATTTCATTATGATTATATGAAGGGTGCATCCTGAAAATAATTGAATCTTCCACCACATAAAACTGTTTTTCTTTTAAAGAAAGGATAGATTTTATTTTGGCTAAATACAATTTCAATAAAATAAATGACCAGGTTACTCTATTATTGACAAAACAGAAAATCTTGTGATATCTTTAAGATTAAAAAAATGATTATTTTACAAGATTTTCTGAACCACAGTACAATGTAGTTTCATTTCCACATTGAAATAAAATATAGAAGCCCAAAAAGTGATGGTAGCTGTGCACAAGAGATTTATTAGGTATCACATTTCTTGTACTAATGAATAGATTGGTCTTTATTTAATCTGTATTAAAGAATTTTGAACCTCTTATTTCTAGATTAGTTCTTTTATGAGAAGTTATATTTTAATATTCTTCCACCCGAGGAGACCCATCTATCTATCCTGAGATCAGTGATAGGATGCTATTCCTGCTAAATTGCTTATGTCTTAAAACTGGTTATAAAGGAAAATGGAGGAAGGAATAATCTTAATTCTAAAAACTGATCTGGCCATAGGACACACAGTTTCAGAGATACATCAGTTTGGGGCAGAGTTAAAAGAAACTGGCAAGAAAGCAAACTAATCTAGTGATTGTAGCTGAAATGTTTTAACTGCCAGGGATAATTAGGCAGCACTTGTTATTAAGGTTTTCAATTCCTCATTAGCTAAATGTCTTTTTTCATCAGGCTAATATGTAAATAATTGAATCTATAACTTAATTTTGTGGCCACGGGGGTGATGTAAATCTTAGAATAATATTGTTTTATGAATAAAACATTTAAATTAAACCTGATGAAGAAAACTGGCATACTTATTGAGGATGTAAAGAAATTTAACAAAATTTAAAAAGCAGGCTACCAATGTTACTTTTATTTTAAATAAGATTCAATCTATTAAATAAAGTAATTTGACACAGACTCCTTAACCGAAAATTTTAGGTCTGGGATAAAATTCCAATCTAATCCCTGATGCAATGACGACATGAGGCTGATGGTGAGAAAGACCTCATCATGTGTATGACCTTTAGCTTCTTGGAGATAACATGAAATATAACTATCATCAATACATTAAACATTATGCTTTCCTAATTTCCCAGGGTACATAATTTCTAAATTGCTTTTCTAGCAATCGAAACAGAACTAAAGACTAAAAGCAGAATTAAAGACTCTGCCTTCCATGAACCTATTTAATTTGGAGCTTGTCACCCTCTCTCAGTCCAACTCACCTCACAGGCTGGTTGTTATGAGAAAATAGGAGATGGGAGAAGTAAATAAATAAATAAATAAATAATCCTGCATAACTCCTAAATTTAAGTTACATCTGCTTTCAGTTGAAGGGCACTTGGACTTGAATGACATAATGGGCAGTCACACACCAAAAAGATTTATTGAAGTCAAACCAGATATTAAATATGATTTATTCCACTCACAGGCAAGCTTAAAATTACATATTTAAGTAATGTTATATATTTTAATAAATATTAATGAACAGGGGTGGGATTCTACAGGTTCGCACCTATTCGCTAGAACAGGTTGTTTACATTCTAAGCAGTTCAGAGAACCAGTTGTTAGAAGAAATTACTGGCCTAATCCTGTAAGGAAGGCAGGAAGGAAACATTCTGGTGTTGCTTACAGAAACTGCCTCTCTGTTAACCCTTATTACATTCTTGGCAGGACTAGACTTCCTGTCTCAGGAATGTCTCTGGAGTTTTTCCCCCTGCTTTGCTGGTACTTTGCTTGTGTGGAGTAACCATTCAAAGTTACAGTGGCACTGAAAAAAGTGACTTATGACCATTTTTCACACTTATGACTGTTGTAGCATCCCCACAGTCACGAGAGGCCAGGCGAGGAGATGCGTGCCTTGATGTGAGTGATATTGAGTTGGCCACACACCCAGCCAATAACATGACCACCAAGCCATGTCCACCCAGTCACATGACCACCAAGCCACACCTACAACTTAAGCCATGCCCACAGAACCGGTTGTTAAAAAATTTGAATCCCACCCCTATTAATGAGTATCTTCCAGTCACACATTTGATAATTTTTGTTATGATTAAAATTACAGTTTAACAGCTTTTGACAATCTCTGAGTGCCATTGCCTATTGGCAGGTGGGGGCGGGGGAACACACATGGTCTTGATCTTTCTTTCAGTACTACTTTTCTTTGCATTAGAATCTATTACTTCAGGCAGGAGTTCCTGTAGGACAGAATACTTACAAAGAGAAGAGGGAACTGTGAGGCCTGGGTACCTGTCCTAGCCTTGTTGATCCTATATGCTGCTAAAACACCATTACCTCAAAAATGAGCAAGGTTCTCTGAAAGGAATGGAGAAATTCCATTGCGTGCTTTGGTTCAGCTACTGGAATATCTTGGGGCAGCTTTGATTTAACTGACCAGAAGCAATGCTGAAAGGCATTTTTGAACCATGAACTGGGATTATTTTATAAGGACTATAGTGCAGGGGTGTCCAACCTTGGCAACTTCGAGACTTGTGAACTTCAACCATGGCTGGCTGAAGAATTCCGAGGGATGAAATCCGTAAGTCTTAAAGTTGTCAAGGTTGGACACCTCTGCTCAAGTTTATAATCTTACTAGGGAGTTCAGTGGGATTTATTGCTTAAAGGATGGAACATTTGCTTACATTCTTACTGTAGTTTCAAATAATACAATACTCTCTGCACCAACACTGATAATTTACAAATTGGCCCAAATTGCCTTGTTGCTATTTTTGCCATTAGACAAATGACTAAAATTTTATTTAGCCATTGCTCCACCCTGGCATGGCTTAATAGGCTAGGCTAGAAAAATGAATGCCTATCATAAGAACTAAACTTTAGAGAGCTTTCATCTAGAATTTGTCTATAGATTTGGATAATAGCAAAGTATGGTGTCAGGGTTTCACTGCAAGCTTCACTTATTAACACTTACTTTTCATAGGTCACGTGTGTTACTAAAAAAAACAAATGCCATAGACAGACAATGATTCCAGCTGACAATGACTTATCTAGATCTTTCGCTGATACTTATAGCAATTGTTTTTTTTTAAATGTACAAAATAAAAACTGAACTGCCACAGCTGAGGTTCCAGCATGCCATTTAGGAGATTGTAGGATTTGAAATCCAACAAATATGTGTGGTGCTTAGTTGATGAAAGGTGTGATAAACCAGTTAATTGATTTTTGATTAAATGTGTGCTATAAAGTCAGATTTGAGTCTTAGCAACTACACAGACTAGTTTCTCCAGGAAATATAATTACAGTAGTTAGTTGTAAAAAGCACCAAGATAATGCTACACACTTGATTCTGAAATCATATCAATAATATTTAATTCAATTATAATTTAAATTCAATTATATTTAATAACTTATACTAAACCTTACAAATGCTTAACAATTTTTATTTTTTTCTTTGATTCCCCTCCTCTATAAATGATTGCAGAAAAGAATTCCTGATACAGAATGATCACTCAGGCTAGGTTTGTTTTTCTCTTATCTCAATCCTTTCAGAGTTATCCAATGAACTTACTACTCACTGCTGTAGTTAGGCCTTTCTGTTTGTCTGATTTTATGTACCTCCAAATAAACTAGCAGTTCTTATTTTGCCAGGGAATGAATTTAGCCTTAAGTTTCTCCAGTTCTATCCTTTCCCTTTCCCTATCAGTGCTTTTTAACAGGTTTTTTTTTTGATATGCATGCTTTTAAGCAATCTTATGGGCTTTGCAAAGCAAAACTGTATTGGTAAGTCATAGATAAAATTTCTTTTTTTCATTTGCAAGGGGAGAATAATCATTTTAGTGTCACACATGATCATGCTAAAATAAGTGGCTTTGCTCCTGATATACCGTATTTCAGCTCAGCCTGGCTGCATATAATTTAAGTCGCTCCCCATTTTATTGCAGGATTCAGATTCAATCTGCTTTCATTATTAACAGCAAAATCCTTACATGTGAGACTGGCATTTCTTTTTAAAGAAACCTGTGCAAACATGTTAGCTTATGCAGATTCCTAAGCAAGGAGTCGCTCCTATCAACTTGGCAATGAAATCGGGCTCTTACCCTGTGACAATTTCAAAGGGTGGCAATTCTTCCAGTTCCTTCGGCTTTTCTGCCTCCGCAGATTCCTCTGCATTTTCAGCCTTTCCACCATTCTGGGCTACTGGAGGTTGTTCCTGCTTCTCAGACATCCTGTTGTACTGTAGTGGGTGCCCAAAGACCACAGCAGCGGCCAAGAACTGGGCACAGGCTTCAGAAGCAGAAATGGAGCAGGGAGGGAGGCAGAGAGCTGGAAATGGCAGTTCTCAGGAGCTATATATGGAATGGGTGCAGTGGCAGAGATGGGAATAGGCTAGGATGACCCCTAGCACTCTCGGATATCATCTCCTTCACTTTTAACTCTGGCCTGAGACATTCTTTTGCTCCCCCTTCATTTTAAATATGAAGTGATGAGTGGAGCGTGGGTGGATTAGGTAATGGAAGGATGCAAAAGCAACCTATTTATCCATAGTCATGACAGAAATCTGACACGGTACAGAAGAGCTGGCCGCTCTCCTATGCTCTTGGACTTACTGAGATGCCTTCTTCCTACCCTTGAAGGGACCACCTTCCAGAGGTGCCAAAAAGAGGCAGGTAGCTTTGTTAAAAAGAATGCTCCTGATTTTATTAGGTGGAACTGAAATAAAATATCAGAAGGTTGGGTTGTTGTTGTTGTTTTACTCAAACCTGAATTTTGTTCCTGACATAAAAGTGAGAGCTTTAAAAAGCCTTACTTCCTAGGCAGATATATTGAAAAGCACAGACTGAAAGTATTTCAGGTGAAAGTATTGCACTATTATCTGAACCTAATTGATTTCAGTTTTCCTCACCTCCTTAGGCAGCTGACAGAAAACCTGTTGGACACAGTTTGACTTTCATTGAAGATTTAAGAATGCTATTATAAAAGCCTTCCAATGCTCAGCTGGCTTTTTCCTTTGTGACTTACAGTCAATCTGGCAGTGTGAATATTGTGCTCAGCTGGAATTCCAAGCTAAGGGACCAGCACCAACTGCTATTATCTTGAGGCAAGGTATTAAAATAAGAAAAAGAATGTGAAAATGAATGTGGAAATGTGAAAAATCTAACTAGATGAGGTATGAAATTGATTCTGCTTGAGATATGGGATGTGCCATGGAATTTTGCAGCTGACTTATAAGAAGTAAAACTGGTTCCTTCTCTGAACTGCAGTTGGTGCTGGTGCAAGGAAATGGAAGTGCACTGACTTTTTTTATTAGAGCATTTAAGAAATATACTGCAATGAATATACATTATTCATATTCACTCAGCCATATTATTTTGGAAATAATTGTTTACTGAGACATGCAAGATAGAAGCTAAAGTATGGCAGATAATCTTGTACTTTGTACTCACTTTTACAACCTTTAAAAATTATTATTATTATAGCAACACTGCTTAGATGGTTGACATACTGTTATACATTGATACATCCCATGATTCTCAATTATTTCTGATAAATACCTATTCTATAGAAAGGCAATTTGAAAAAATAAGCACACCACAAAGCACTCAACAAGCATATTTGTAAAACGTATACACTTGCAAATATATATTAGCCACATTGACAATTAGAATTTTTGTGTAACTTACAAATATAATATGTGATGTGAATTTAAAACTAGTGACATTTTTTTCCACTTCATCTTATGAAAGATGAGGCACTTTTCTTTTGGTGATTCTTTTTCATTCTGCAGCTCTTTCAGAATTGAATATTTGAAAACAGTATCCAGAATGGTTGCAAATATAGCACAAATGGCTATATTAGAGAGAACGGGGAACAGTGAAATATCCTGTCTTGTAAAATTAAAAGTAGATTTTTCAAAACAAAAAAAATAATCCAATAAGCCTTTGTAAGCACATTTCAGCCTATCTAGCTCAAGTTTTTTTTTCTAAATGAAATGTTTTATTTTTTTTCTTCAGTTTTTCTGTTTAATTTTCTGTTTAATACTTACAAAATGACTGCCAATGTTCAAGCTTCAGAATTATTTAGCAGAATTTCCACTGTACCAGCACTGATTAACAAGTAGTACCAGGACTTGATTGTTGGGATGTGTAGAACGGTCCTGGTGCATTTGGTAAATTGCATTGCTGGTGTGGGTTTTGTTATAAAAACTGGTAAGAACAAATGCTAGGTATATACCTGTAGATAGCAACCATCTATATATATATATATTGCAGCGTAACCCATTCAAGGTCCACATTGGACCATAACTCCCATAATCCTAAGCCAGGTAGCTGGGGATCACGATATTGGTTGTACCAAAAATCTAAAGGGCACTCTTTGATTTTATCTTATTAGGAAAAGTGTTTTTTTGTTTATTTTTTAAAAATAATATGAAAAACTTTTGGCACAAAGTTTTATTGTTTTTTCCCTTCAGTGTTAACTTATGTTTAAATTCCAGTATCCCAAAGCTATGACTGTCACATTTGACATTTTACAGAGGAATTATAGGGATGGGAATCCTGAGCTGCTGAGTGATACTCTTCCCCACCCCTTCTTGTGTCCTTCTGGCCCGCTTTATTTTTGGAAACTCTTGACTGCTGGATTAATCAGGGTCCCATCATTCTTACTGCTTTAACTTTCACGGGAGCCAGCCAAGCCTTGCAGATCAATGTTCAGCTTTAATCTTATCTCTGGAATGTAGATCTGGGCTAGAAGTTTTCTTTCCTCAGCTGTTGCTGAGCTCCTTTTAGGGCAGAACTCGGCATTTGTACAGACTGACCACCAAGGGCTCTGCCATAGAGCAGCCACAGATGTTACGTAGCGATGCTAAGCTTTGCAGATCAAATGGTTTATTTGATTCTATACAAACACAAAGCTAAGCTTATTTGCAGACATAAAAGGGTGCATGTGCACACATACCGCACCCTTCTACCCCTTCCCCCCAGCAATCTATTAGAAATAGAAAGAATTGCGAAACAAAATTAGGTGATTCATCTTATGCCTGGTATAAAAAAAGATTGTGTAAGATTGTGCCCATTGTGTAAGAAAGTATGTTATTTCCCCCCAAACCAGAATGGGGAAAGTATAACAAGAAGCAGAATTCTGGATTTTCCTAGCCCAGTTATAATTAAGAAAGTCTCTTGATTGAAGATGTGGAAAACTGTAACATGTCATTGTTAGCCACAGTTTGATCCAATGTGAGGCAACTGCCTATGAAAACGTTAGGGCAGTGGTGGCTCACCTTTTTCAGCTTCCATGCCGAAAATTGTGCACACTCGCGCACACGCACTCACGTGCCAGCACCCAGAAGGCAATGCGTGCGGGGGGGCCCCACGCCCCTGCGTATGCATATGCATCTCTGCGCATGTGCATGCGACCCCCCTGTGCACCACGCATCTCTGTGCATGCGTGCATGATCCCCCTGCATGTGCTGCACATCTATGCTCATGCATCTCCCACGCACCCCGGCACATGTGCGCCAGATACCCAACAAGCAGATGTCAGGTGCGTGGCATGCACACATGCACAGTAATGCTCTTCCAGGAAACCTCTTGCGTGCCGGCAGAAGTGGCTCTGCCATAGGTTTGCCATCACGGCCTTAGGGAAATTGATGTTCTCAGTATGGCTCTACAAGCCATTTGTTAAAATAGTGGTGATCTTTATGCAAAACTGTCTTCTATAAACTGGCATTCTCTAGATGTGACGGACTTCAATTCCCATAATCCCTTACAAATCATTGGCTATGCTAGATAGGGATTATGAGAGGCTGAAGTCTAGATATCGAGAGCTAGAGGATATAGAAACAGCTGATAAAAGTTTTCCCCCCTAGGAAATACATATGAGACAATATACTTAGGTGTTCCATATTCTGAATATGCAGTAACATCCACATTGGATAACTTATCAGCTTTAATAATTGGGAAATTTAATTTATGTTAGGGCTGCTTTGATATATAAATAAACAGTGTTTAAAAAGAATGGTTGCAATAATTTTCTATAACATACCTTTAATGTCCCCATTTTTAAAAAAAATTCATCATTTTTATAAATTCAATTTGACATGAGTCATTTTTTCTATGACAGTTCAAATGTCACCCTGACACACATGTCTGACCCAGTTATGTCCAATATTATTCAGTACTTCTATATTGCCCTGCCAAAATTGTCCTGCAATCTGTCAAGTTTATTTAAAAAATGCAGGGATTCTTATTCTTTTTAATGTTCAAACATATTAAAACAGTAACAATCTTAATTTCTACTACTTATAAGGCTGGTCAATCACAATTTATGATCCTAACTCCACCCAGTATGATTAAAGCTAGCTTTTATCTCATTGTCTTATAAATATTGTGCAGCAGTCAAAATTGCCTTGGCTCTATCCATTGACCGCTCTCCTTAAAATTATGTTTTTGTTTAGGATCTTTTGTCGATCAATTGTTTAAGGGATGCTTTGTTGGGTTGTGTGTCTATGTTAGCATTGCTAGATTTCCAGCAACCTACCTAGGTTATTTTCTAATTATAAAGAACTCTAAAGAGCAACAGCCTCACTGGTACAGGATCAGAAAATACTTAGCTGGCCAAAGGCAAAAGTGAAATAAGACACCGTATCATGCAGAGATGAGGTGTGCTCTTTAGAATAAAAGGGACAGCTGGTTATCAAAATAAAACGTATCCCTGGATATGTTGTATGGCAGTAATTCCAAAGCTTCACTGTCCCTTTCTGTGTAACTATTGCAAAGCAATAAACAATGAAATAGTAAAGGGGGAGAGAATGTCCTTTGTTTTTCCAGCTTCATAGGCCATAGCATCTCTCTGCCCCACTCCTAATTCTTGGGAATTTTTCCAGGAGTGTCAGGGATAAATTGATAAAATTTCATAGCTGTGTCTGCATTTGGTCCCTATTGTAGAACCATGCTCATCATGGAGTAGTAGCAACATGGGGAGGGGGGAAAAATCAAGGGGAGAGATGCTCATGTCATATGATAGCTTGCATTGTCTTTCTAGAATTAGTTGGATTTTTTCCCCGTACTTATCAGCATCCTTAATAAGATTTTCAGAATGCAAGGACACCTGTAGGAGATGAAAGCATGAGTTAATTCAATAGAGTCTATTGCAATAAATATGCTTGAATAATTTAATAGCTAGATATATTTTATAAATGGGTGTAAACTTAGATAACCCATTTATTTTATGGAAATCAAAGAGTTCTGGGACATAAGTTTTGGCTAGGCAATTCTGTGGGACATGAGAATGGGAAGTAGCAATTTACCATTCATCATACTTCCCATTCCTGCTTGTTTGAGATTTCCATAACTAAAGTTTCAGAAAGTAAATGCTATT